TTATCCCCCCTTTCCTGCCCCTTCCTCCTTCCTTTCCCTCTCCATTTACACATACATCCCCTATTTCCTACATCTTTGAACTACAGCCAGCAGCTGAATGAGGTACATCTCGAATATATATGATGGGGGGGGGGGGGGGAGAGTAACTCGTATGTGTAAAGATTAAAGGAGGTATAGCTATAACTTCTTGAACAGATATACTTCTTGTAAGGAGTTGATATTGTAAATCCTGTGTACTGCATACAGGTTTAGCTACAGTCTTTTTTTTTTTTTAAAAAAAAAACCAAAACAAAACACAAAAACAAACCCAGCACTGCTAAATGATACTTTCTGCCAATGTCTTAGCTGATTCACTTGCCTTTAAATCAGCAGTTTGCATATATGTGAGTGGTAAAACTAATCGTAGGAATTTCTTGGTTTTGCTTTGTAACCTACTCAAAATGCTGTGTGAAAAATACAGAATTCCACTATTCCTTTGATCATTTGATGCTCTGTGGGCGAGCAGCTTGTCACATTTGAGACTAACTCAAAAACAAGCAAACAAGCTTGTTTCTATAGTTATGATGGTCTCATGATACGATGGTCTCATGATACAAACAGGACAATGTTTGGCAAGAACGGTGATGTCCTATGTTAGGCCAGCTGATAGGCTTTGCAGCTCAAAGGAGAAAACAAGCTGAGAGGCACACAAGGCCTTTCTTAGTCTGAAACAAAAGCAGCAAACCTCGTTAAACCTTGTTTTGTAGTGATTTACAAAGCCTACACAGGCTTTTGGTGAACTTGATTCCCATGACGTTTGCCATACTACCCTTCTAAAAGGAACAATTTTACTTCTGAATTAGGTATTTGATCTGCATGCAGTGTTTTGTAAGTAGGTGTTAGTATATTTATAAAATATGTTTTTAAAACCCTATTTATATTAATAAAGACGCATTTTACATATATGAAAAAATCTTTCATTTAAAAACCCACCTTTTCTCTATTTGCTCAAATATCTTTCAAGAATTAAATGATATTCGTATTGGGACAAAATATTTAAATCCCATACTGGCTATTTTTTTGAATTCTCAACCTTAGTGCAGTTGACTTAGCACAGAAAACCAGTGTTTGATAATGTATGGCTGATAACATCAGTAATGTGACAGATAATTAGTACCTGTAATTTTCCCGTGACTTAACCCAGTTGCATCTTTTTTGGTGATTATGAGAAATAGTCTGTAACATGCTCTGTAAAAGAAAATGCAAAATTTTCAAACAAGATGCCCAAAGGTGTTTTAAAAAAAAAATATATATATTTGCGTAAATATGTATTTGGACATGGCATGCTCTCTTTTAGACATTTCTTTTTGGAAAGCCATTACTGAAGAAGCTCTCTTCCTTACACATATAGCACAGTATTCTGTACTTCAGTGAGGCAGTATACAGCTTTCATTACAATGACAAATACTGAAATGTTAAAAATAGATTAAGCTTTAAGAATCCCAGATATTTTCAAATAACAAAGAGTGATTTATGTGGGCTCATTTTGCACTTTGACAAAATATAGAGGCGCTTTTGTACTATGATTAGCAAGGGTGCTGATGTCAGTTCGCTTGTCTAGCTTTAAGCTTTATTCTGCTGCTAAATTGTGCTTTGTACTGTAATCCAGAGAACCTTTGTATCTGCCTTATTAGTGTGTAGTTTATGGAATTGCTTTTGTTTTTGAATATAATCTGTGCCAGTTTCAGTGAGTGTGACTCATTATATGACTGAAATAAACATTCACATATGCATTATGTGAAAACTCTTCAAAAATAGTAGCAGGTGCTGGTAGGCTAAATTCAATGTTTTTAAGTACTTTATAGTTGCTATTTTGTAGCCTGAAGGGCTGAAAGCAAATTCTGTTTAGCTGGTTGATTTTCTGAATTTTTAAGAGTCCTATTTACTCATTAATGCTTAACAGAGATTGTGAGGATTGCTAAGACTCTTTCACTCCTTAACACAGTACTAGAAATAAACTTCTAGAAGAGGCACACTTGGTTGATACAGAGTTGATTTTTCTTTTTTTTTTTTTACACAAATCTTGAGACAAAATGTATCGTGCTTCTTAATTGCTCTTGTTCCCTCTCCTGTCTCTAATCTCTTTCCTCCTGACTTAAGCTTTGAAAATTTCATCTGAATGACTGAAAGCTGAGCTTAAGATAAAGCTAGTTTCTGATGCAACAGTTTTGCAGTTTGGTTCGTAACAGTTATCTGTGATCGACCTTCTCTGGAGAGAGAGCCTACGATATTGAAGTTTCCTGTTATCCCAGCATCTAAGTTGTCACTTGATTTGGAAACAGGAAACAAAACAAACTTTGCCAGTGTTTTTGGGTCACTGTTAAACACTGCTTATCAGCTGAGCTACTGGAAGATGCTCACATTTGAAATCTAAATTGAAGGCGTTTCATCTGTTACATCTTCTATTGCTGTGGTTTACTGTTCACACAGTTAAACTTACTGCTACTGTGGAAATAGTTGATTGAGACCTTGACTTGATTCACACAGTTCAGCGTTTAGAGGCACATGCTGTATTCACAACTACAATAAATATACTTGTTTTATAATGTATAACCAGTCATCTTAAATAACCTTTAGAGGCTTGGTAGTTGGAGAATGGATCACAAGCCTTAATTAAGCTGTCTGGCATTTTTCCCTTTCTCCTGTTTTCTGTATTATCGTTTCATAATAGCGTCCTAAGCTTGATACCCAAAAAAGGCATGCCCACTTGACAATGAGGGTTTTGTGAGTCTAGTGCAAAGCTGACAGCGCTACTTTGGAGCTGGAAGATGGCAGTGCAGTTCTAGCTCTTTGTCCTTTATGTACTCCCTCCACTAGTTTGTTTGAAGGTAACAGCTACATAAAAATGAAATGTGAACACTCTTGTGCCTCAGGAAAATGGGTCTGAATCTTTTCCTAATACGTAGTAGGAAACTCTTGCTTTCAAAGCTACATCCCAGTGTGTAAAGGACATCACGTATCTTGAACTCTTCTGGGACCGTCCTCGTCGATTTAATTCCTTTCCTTGGTTAGCATGCAGCCAGGGCTGGCCAAAAGGAAAACTCACTCACCTGCTTTATTTTTTTTTTTTTTTTCTTCTTTGTTTTTTGTCCTTCCAAAGGACTTGCTGGCGACTTTGAATATCTTAAAGAAGTTTTAAATGGGGTGCCTGGGGGCATGGTGTGAGTCTGCGGTGTAATGTGCAGTGGCTTGGCTACTGCATTGATTTGCCTTGGTCGCCAACTTTGCTGAAAAGCGTAAAAACAAATGGGCAAAACAGTGATGGCTCCCCACTGTGTCCAGGCTCTACTTTCAGATTTCTAACTGTGAATGCAGTGCAGCTCTTCTGGTGGGCAATGGCAGTACGTCTAGTTTCTTCTGTAATTCTGTGGTTCTACCGTGCCCATTATCCTGGCATTTGTGCATATAAGGAAGCTTATAGCATAGAATGCTGTATTGCTGGTAGAGCTGTGGAACCAAAATGCAGCTAAGTGGGGCAATGAAGATGCTGTTGGTAATGCCACGACAGTTGTATGCAAACATTGGTTTCTTGGTTTGAGTTAGCATCTTTGGTGAGAATTATGCCAGGTGCCGGAGGCCCACAGGAATGAAAGGCAGCTGAAGATTAGTTGGAAGATGAGGCATTTGAGTTGCGCTTTTCTCCCAGACGAGCTTCTTTCTCTCTGCAGTGGCAGGAACAAGCATGGTGTCGGGTTGTGAAATGTATTTCTTCTGTGGACATACCTTCCACAGAGACTGGTTTTTATGTGGTAAAACTGTAACGTTTCATCCTTCTCTCCATCCCCATCTCTCTAACGGTTTCCAAAATAATAATGTAGCTCTTTGTCTATAAAAAGTACTATTGTAGAAATATTATGAGGTTCTGAGTGCAGAGTTCCCCAAACATTGAGGCGAGTGTACAACGTGAGCATTGTCTGTTCACTAAATGCAGGTCGCTATCGTTGAGTATCAGTGAAAAATTCAGAGTTAAAATGCATCAGCCTGAAGCAGCAGATACCGGAAACAAGACAGTACGGAGCACTTAAAGATATATCTTTATTTTGTCTTCCCCATGCCTACGTCAGCTTTCTTCAGAAGTCTTTTGTGTGCTTTTTTTCCCTTTCCTGGTCCCCTCCCCTCTTTTTTCTTTCATCCTTTCTCATTTTGTAAACAGTGATGTAATTATATGTCCCCTTCTTAAAAACAAAGCTCAAATACAGAAGAAATAAACTTTTAAAATACAAATTCACTAATCCTCTAGTCCACTACGGTAACAATATGTAAACAGATTGCGTTAAATGTAGGTAACTGGTGTGTAATCTCTTAGAATTATAATTGACCTGTGTATTACTCGGTTCAACCCAGGTTGAAACCATACACAAAAGGTAACAGGCTTAAAGTATGATTTCTTCCTTCTAATTTTTCTCCCCTTTTTCTCTCTCCAATTTTCAGGCATGGAAGAGGAGATGGTTTGTGCTTCGCAGCGGCCGTTTAACAGGGGATCCAGATGTATTGGAATACTACAAAAATGACCATGCCAAGAAGCCTATCCGTATTATTGACTTAAATTTGTGTCAACAAGTGGATGCTGGATTAACGTTCAACAAAAAAGAGTTTGAAAACAGTTATATTTTTGATATCAACACTATAGACAGAGTTTTCTATTTGGTAGCAGACAGCGAGGAGGAGATGAATAAGTGGGTTCGATGTATCTGTGATATCTGTGGGTTCAACCCTACAGATGAGGGTAAGTTCTGTTTGGTTTTTCTGAGAAAGTGCGATGCCTACGTGTGAAGAATGTTTCAAAGATCAGATGACTATCTTTAGCTGGCATATGTTTTAAAACTTGTATGCATTGGCTATGAAACTTCCTTGTTACTCTGAAAAAAAGTATGCAGAACAGAGGGAGATATTAAGAATTTGTTACAAATTAAGTGGGCCATAGAACTTGGATGATGCTCTTCTGTTTTGCGTGATGTTAGGTCTTGAGAGTGTAGGAAAAAATCTGTAAGTAAAACCATGCAAAACAGAAGATCATCATAATCATCAAAGGAATCCCATTTGGTATAAACACGTATGCTTATGCAAGCAGGAATGTCAGGTTTCTAATATTACCATTTCTCCGTCTGCTTTGCAACTTGGGGAAAAAAAAAAATCCGCCCCCCACCGGCTGAAACAAACAAAAAATAACTTGGAGTTCTCCACTATCCAGCTCTAATCCTACCAAAATAGACATTGTGTGAAAGCAGCTTGTGGGAAACAGGATGGTGTGTTTAATTCCTACAAATACCTTGTGGCCATTGCTTGTCCTGAATCCATCCTTATTTATTTATTCCTTGTGGAGATTAGTGGGTTGCATGACTTGCTGTAGCTCTGTGCACAGTCCCAAGAAAAGATTAAATAGGAGCGGTAAGAGGGTTATAAATAAAGCATGCCTGACTAAAGGGGCTAGAATTAAATCCCTGGTTTTTGTAGGACGGTGGATTGAGGGAGGTGGGGGAACCAGTGCTTGCATCTCTTCTACTCCAGCCGAATCTTCAAAAATGACTGGAAAAAATTGTTGCTTTCTGAAGAGAGGTCCTTTTCTTTGTCCTTATTGCAGTTTTGAACTAAAACTTTGTCACGAAAACTTCATCTATGAATTACCACTCTAATAGCGAATTCAGAGAAGGGTACTTATTTTGACAGTCCCAGCATGTTTTTGTGACATCCTGAACATAACCAAGACCACCCACAGCACATTTCTAAGAGCGATTGCCATATGATTCAGTCTTCAGTCTGCCAGGCATCCGTTACGTATGGGAGAGAGGTAGGCAGGTGGCTGCTTTTCAGTGGGTAATACGCTAGTGCACCAGTGCAGCCGTGGGCAGGAGGCGCTCAGAAATCATTGGTTCTGGGGACAAACTAGGAATCTGGGAAGTAAGGAGGAAATGCATTTACCTGGTGGCTCTCGCGTATGTGAGATCACCAAGGAGCATGTGTCCATCGCGTGGAACAGAGAGGCAGGGTCCCCTCAAAGCCATGAAGCCTTTCCTTGCTGAGAGCTGGTGTATTGCTAATCTGTAATTTTCTGTTGATGTTGCATCTTCTGTTGAACTGAAGGTGAAACATGCTACGAATGCGGAGAGAACTGACTACACCCTCACCGGCTGTTTGGACCAAGACTGGTTTTTGCTTCAGGCAATTGTATCAGTAACTTATCCCCATTATGGTCTCCTTGCATGTTTCATCTTTGGCATTTTAGCTTTGTCTGAATTATCCCAACACCTTTACTTTATATAGCTGAGAGTTGACAGTACTGTCTGTTTTACAGGTTTAGTAACATCTTACAATGCGTTGAAGAATTAAAAAAGGAAAATGGGAAAATCAGTTACTGAGTGTCTGTTAATTGCCAAGTTCTTTTTACAAGATGAATATTCCTACTAATGGAAGAGCAAGTCATAAACATACTTAATAAAATCGGTGTTAACCTACAGTTTATTTTGACAAGTTAAAGAATAGGTGATGTTCACTGCAGACAAAAAAAAAAGCACTATTATTTTAGTATGGAACTGAACAAAGAGAGATTGTCTGGGGCATAACCAACCTTCCCTTTAGCCTATGGAAGCGGAAGATGGTTTTCTCTGAAGTTGGACAAAATGTCTCTTGCCAGACTGGTTAAGGGTCTTGTTATGAGAGGACTGTCATTGGCATTCTTTGCTCTGTCAAAGACTGGGGGCACCACTGGCCTATTGCTCTTGCTGTTGTTCGTTTGGAAGCCCAGTCCAGTTGCCTCCTTGGATTTACAAAGAAAAAAATTATGAGATGGTGGTGGTCAGTGTTATTAGAAAACAAATATGGAGTTGTTTTGGTGTTGGGAGGAATGAGGGAGAAAGAGTTAATGGTAACTATGGAGAGAGACAAAAAAAAAAAAAAAAAGATTGCTTCAGACAGGCTATGAGCTGCTCCTTCCATACTTAGTCAAGACTCAGAAATTCCTATGGTGTGAAGTTTGTATTTCCTTTTATTCCTTTTCTTAAAAATGAGTGTTCACAGTAATTGCTAACTCTTAATGCTTTGTTGTGACCTTCCAACTAGAAATTGATTTATGCACATGATATCTGTTCATTCTGGAGATCTGCGGTGTTACATTTGTATTTAGACTGAGTAGATGTTCTTTAGTTTTATGTTCTTTAGTCGTATTTGCAAGCCATTGAGTCTCCAGCTTTCTGATTTCACATAGTATAGTGTAATTGGTAATGATCACATTACAATTACATTATATGATTTTTTTTATAGGGACTTTCTTTAAAGGAAGGCTTTACAGTGATTTAGGTCTTTTAAACTTACAAGATGGAAACATGAAGGAATTTTTTTTAAATAATCTAAATAATTTTTCTACTTTTGTAAAAAGTACCCAGGAATTTCTTTGTTATTCTTCAGCTAATGCTTCTCATTTTCAAATGGAAGCTGTAAAACGTTTGTCTCTGTAGCATCTTTCTTTTTAAAATGCGTGTGCAAAGGTGGGGGGAGCTACACATGAGCATGGGTTTTAGGTTTACCACAGGGTTTCATACTTCACTTTTAACATGCATATTTTCTCTGTAAGGTCATAATATAATAGGTCATTTAGAGGTTAAAATGTAACTATAAGCAAAACTGTGTTGCTAGTGTTTTATGCGCTTTGAACTCCAGTGAGAGATGTTCTGGGATGGAGACACTGAATGGCCATGGGAAATTACTACTCTCCTCTGCCTGGTGCTGTGGAGACCTCAGCTGAAATACTGTGGCCTGAGCTTCCAGAAGGGTGAGGATAAATGTTTAAAGAACAGTAGAAATAGACGAAATGGATTTTTAAAAGTGATCGATGAGGAGAAAAGTTGAAGGATTTGTTTTTTCCCGGGAAGAAAATGCTGAGGGAAGAGCTGACTTTCAAAGTATAAAAAGCTACGATAAGCAGGACATGGATCAGTTGTTATCTAAAGAGAGAAGTAATTTGTTTCTCTTTCAGTGAGCGATGTAATGATAAAGAAAAACCTTCTAAGGATATTTAAGCACTTGCTGTGAAAACCCTTCCCTAGAATTCAGTAGGCTTTTGTGATGAATGTTTTATATGTGATCCAGCTCCGTGTTTCTGTAATTTAGTGAATTGTGTGCTTGGCAGAGCAGGGGAAGGAGGAAATAATCTTACTATATGCAAACATACTACTTGCATGTATTCATTTGAATAAAGATAGCAATAACAAAGTAAACGAGAAGAAATAACAAAGTAAAGCAGAAGAAGAAAGAAAAGGGAAGAACAAGATGTTGAAATCTACAATTACATTTACACAAATAATTACATGTAGTAAAGAAAGTTTCTGTCATCATAAGGATGGTACTTTGAAAGAGCTACAGCTTGCTTCACACACAGTGCTTTCAAAGTTTGCAGCGTTTCTGTTCAGGCAGCTGCTATCTGGTATATGCCTCTCATGCCTTCTGCATTTTGAGCAGTAAAATTAGTTTCATATAACCATTTTTTTTTTTTATCGTGTTCTCATAATACATGCACTGCAGGTTGATCGTAGCTTGGGTGCAATATAGCAGGATGAACATAACTCCACCTTCCGATCCTGGCTCCTTGTGTTCTCTCTAATGCTGCGTGGTCAGGCACCACTGCTGCTACGCTGTGTTGGAGATCTCCATATCAGATCAGGATAGCCCTGTGCTGCCGGTAACACAAGCGTGGAACAGAAAACAGGCTCTGCCACTAAGAGCTTACTATCTGCAGTAAGAGACATAAATATAGGAGCAGAGGCATGGGAAGAAGTGAAAGCAAACAAGGTGGTTTTGACCGTTGTGACAGATAAGTGGTCTTAGTGCTTCAGCTGTTGGACTGTTGTTGAACTCTGGGATTTTTGAGAAGAAATTTTCAGGTGGTCTTTAAATAAACAGTGGACATTAGGGGTGTTTAGGGTGCCATTCCTGCATGAAGGGTCTGCCTGTAAAAAATAAAAAATTGTTCTCCTTTGACAGCTTTAATAAGTGGATGATAGAGGCTGGCACACTTGGCAAATCAAAATCACCATCTCGGTAACATCTGGTGAATATTAGAGACCTTGGTCATGAAAGGGCTCAAAAGTGAGGAGAAATAGTGTGAGCTTTTAGATGAAGGAAGGGAGGCTCTGGAGGAGCGTAGAGAGAAGCGCAGTGATAGAGTAATAAGCTTAAAAAAAAGTCTTTGCAACAAGGTTGCACCATAGAGATGATGTACTTAATGATGAGTTGAGGTTCTTCGGTATCGCTTGGATGTGATTAACTAGAAAGTAAGTCAGCTCAAAGATGACATGCCAGGAGAATGAATGACTGGTGACCTGGACTGCAGTAAAAAATCACATGAAAGGACAGTGTTAAGCATTGGGAGAGAAACTCGCCGGATAAGGATTGTGGGTCTGTTATCTTAGAAGTGCAGCAGTAGGTTTAGAGGGGATAGTGGCACAAGGGCATCTCTTTTGGTGGAGGCTTTTTTGGTTGGTTGCTTTGAGGAGGTAAATGTGGGGGATAATGATCATGAGAGGTACAAACATGACTTTTTTTAGGGTGGAGTTGCTGAGAGGAAGGTGAGGATAGACTGGAAAGAAGGCTGTCAGAGTTGCACGATTCCATCTGGCAAAATTGTGGAGGAATAATAAAAATAGAAGAAGCAGGACCAGAGAAGGACCTGAGATTTGTCATAGCAGGTTTGGTAGAGGTGGTAGCTGATGGCTAAAGAGCTGAATAAAGGGAGGC